AAATTATAACCAGAGAACAAGATAATATTAAAACTATAATTTGAGAAATGTCTTCTGGCTTTAACATTTTTTAAATAATAAAAAGAAAAAAATATAGAGACAGAGACTCATACCAAATAGAAAGATAGCTTCAAAACCCTTAGAAAATCAATCTATCATCTTTTACAGATTAAACATGTTTATTTTAGATGTGCTATTTGATTACTTAAATCTATAGTTCTCCAATTGGTCTGATTTAATTGTCTTTTCTTTCTGGTTTTAATCCATGTTTTTTTCTTTTATATTTTAATATTTGGAGAAATAACTTTGGAACACGAATGATGTTATTTTCTTTCATCGAGGAGAAACATAATTTCATATGCTGATATAATTTGAAGCTGGCATGCAATTTCTGCAGCAGGCCCTCTGCTCCAGGTTACTGAGGGGAGTTCATTTTGGATCTCAACAGAAAGGGATAGATCTCTCCTTTGGTGGGTCTTAGGCTTTAATCAATGCTGTTCTACCTGGAAAGACAGCCAAAAGTTCTGATCTTTATTTCAGAGTCTCAATATTCCTCCAGGTAAAAAGCAACCATAAATATGAATCTCACGTTCCTCGGTCTATTTTCTCCTTTACCTCATGGCCTGCTACTTATTTACTTTCCTGTTGATTCTCTGATGTCTTAAAGTAAATGTTTGATATGTTTGTTAACCAGATCTTTTGTTGTTTCTCATAATTCATGGTAAAGTCCAAAATATCTAGTTCAAAATTATATAATACAGAAGACTTCATTTAATTTTTTCAAAAGTCTTAAGACTTAGACATATTATCTTCTTTTGATAGATGAGAAGCATTAGGATTGAGAAAAGTAATTTATCATTCTTAGGTGATATACTAAGTGAACAAAATAGACTTAAATACCATTATATCTCAGTTCAAAATATATGCTTTTTAAATATACCGACTTTTATATATAGCACATTTACAAAGTACCTAATAAGTTCCAGGCTCAGTTCTCAATGCCTTCCAAATGTTAACTCTTTTAATAGCCAAACAATACAAAGAGGTCAGTTTTATCACCATTTATAAATGAAGGAAGGAAAACAAATAGTTTTAATTTCTTGCAGTTTTTTCACACAGATATATCACTGGTGTTGAATACATTCTTTTACTTGTCTTTCCCATATGAAAAATAATGTCCTTTAAATTATAAGAGAATATCAGGATCAGACTGTGGAATGTGATAAATTTAGTTTAATAATCTCTTTCCATGCCATCCTCATTAAATAAGAAGTAATTACAAATTTACTATATAAATTACTATTACTAACTTCACTTCATTTTGAAAAATGTATTTGTATCTGTGTGCATGTGCACATACATGTGTGTTGGGGGTAGTAAAAACATAATTCAGATAAAATGATATATGAGAACTTTAACATAAGAGAAATGTATGAAGCATGAATTGAATGGAAGGCCAATGCAGGAGCATTGCTTGAGGCCAGGAGTTCAAGATTAGCCTGGGCGATATAGTAAGACCTCATCTCTACCCCACCCCTCCAAAAAACAAATAAAATTCAAATAAAAAATAAGTTTGTATTAAATGTACAGGGTACACGCCATGCTAAATATTTTGGATCATATAGTGTCATGAGCATGCATATTTTCTTCCCTAAGAGCAGACACAGTTTTTTCCCTGCTGCATATTTAAGAAAGCAGGTCAGAACTATAAAAATAACATTCCGTTTGAAAATATAGTCTCTAATTAATTAGTAGGTTTCTTTATATTCCATAATCTCAAAATGAGAGACATCATAATTAATAGCAGTGGGATGAAAAATACCAATGAGGAAATATTTACCATTGTAATAATAGTGCCATATTTTATATGAATTTTAAAATTTTCAGAGCATTTTCAAAAATAGGGAGGTTCATGTGTTTATTTGTTCATGGCAAAATTTATTCAGGAATGTACACTGTCTAGCATATAGCAGAGTTTCAATAAGCTTGTATTGAATAACATGAATCCTGCATTTGGAAATCAGTGAATATAGTTTTTGTGTTGAAGTCATATATAATGGTGTGTTGTTTTTACTTCTTTTCCACTTAATTCATTGAATATGTATGGAATGTCAACAGGCCCAGACAACGAGGCTTCATGCATACTATTTAACTCATTTACTTGTTACAGAGGGTGAGAAAATACATTTATTATGCAGTTTTAATTAGAATGTAACATATGGTATAGGATTCTCTCTTCTCGGCATTCCTTCTTTTTTATCCAAATTTCCTTTATATTTTTAAGTGAGAGATAATTTTTAACACAGTAAAATAACTGGTTAAGAGTTATATAGACTACATTCTACAATGAGGCCAAACATAACCATCTGGTTAAAATATATACAGTTATCAAAATATTCTCTAAAGTGAAGTTACAGTATTAGAATTATTAATCAGCATACACTTACATTAGACACTCTTTTTAAAGAAAGATAACTTTAAACATCATCTTATCAGGTCTGTATTATACATAAGTGAACAATAGAAATAATAGAAGTCCAATGCGAGAAAGTAATTTACTGACTTTTTTTCACAGCTAAGTAGCATTTAAAAATGCTATAGAACTCTTTCCTCCAAAATGTTCATAGCACTTCTTCATTATGTATCATTACTTTCAAAAGTATTTTCATGTTGAAATGGTTACTATGCCTTTGTAATATTTAAACTTCAACAGATGTTCTAAGATAAATTTAAATATTAACCTAGGTTATAAGACACTAAGATGAACTCTAAGATTAACAAACACAAATGTAGATGATGATGCTTTTTGAGCACTATATTTTTCTGTTTGAGACAATCATCCTAAGCCAGTTGATTTAGAATTGCATTGCCTCATATAATAAAAGATTGACTTGGCCAGGCGCAGTGGCTCATGCCTGTAATCCCAGTACTTTGGGAGGCCGAGGTAGGCAAATCACAAGGCCAAATGATGAAGACCATCCTGGCCAACATGGTGAAACCCTGTCTCTGCTAAAAATACAGAAATTAGCTGGATGTGGTGGTACATACCTATAATTCCAGCTACTTGAGGGGCTGAGGCAGGAGAACCACTTGAACCCAGGAGGCAGAGATTGCAGTGAGCCAAGATTGCGCCACTGCACTTCAGCCTGGCTACAGAATGCGACACCGTCCCTAAAATAAAATAAAAATAAAAGATTGATGTAACACACACACGTTTTACTGATGCTTTTTTAAGCACCTCTTAAACAGTTAATAATACAATTTTCATAATTGCCTCTGAGCATTTGTACAGTGTTCGTGTTATAGATGAGAATGTAAAGAGAGAGAAGTAACGCCCAAGTTTCTAGAACTAATGATTGTAGAAGTAAACAAACGTCTTTGTCTCCACTGATACTTTAAGCTACACTTAACAAGGGTTTCAATCTACATTCTCTAACTCATCTTTTCCCATCCCACCCCTGCAATTCTTGGTTGCAAAATTTCATAAAAAGCTTCAGGGTAAGAAAGTTTAATAGCAAAAAATATTATTTTCTAAGACAAAAGTAAATGTTTTGCCAATGGTCTGACAGCCATGAAAGACAAACTTCATAGCATGCAAATATTAACATGAGTACTTTTGGAGGAAAACAATAGCAAGTACAATATGCATTTTAAAACATAATATGAAAATTATACCTCGGCAGGGTTTGGTCCTCATTTTGGACACATCGTCCTCAGAATCCTCTCTTGTACATGCCTGCATGAAAGAAAGTTTGGATGGTCAAGTGGAGAATTTAGAAACAAAATATGATGCATAAAAATTTCTGTTTTAGGGCCTAGAAGTATAATCCTCAAACAAAATATCTGCCACTTAAAGCTGTGAATTTCACTTTCTTATTTGACTGTTTGCTCTGCTTATAATCCTCTAAAGACAAATGACTCAATCTTAAATGTTGATTTGTGGTGTACCGCACTAATAATACAGAGAAAGTGGCCAATGAGTGTCTGACAAATAGGAGAAACAGTGCAGAATGTGTTTCCTGCTGAGCAGTTCTCTTCGTGCAGTGCTGGTTAAGATTTAGAAGTTACCAGGAAACCTAATTAAATCAGACATTTGGCTAACAAGAATGTTCTTCCCACTTTCTCCTTTACTTCCTTCTTTACTTTTTTTCTTCCTCTTTTAGGTAGAGAAAGATCTCTTTGTTTAATAATACATGTAATTTATCCTAAGAAGGTACTTTAAAAAAAAATACTCAGAAAAAGAACTAAAAGGCAAAGTCACCAATAATTTCAATGTGACTCTAGAGAGAACTAGGTAGGCTGGCCTCTGAGTGTGTGAGTTCCATCAACCCACCGCTCTGGGAAGGAGAGAAGTGAGGCAGTATGACAGACGAAAAACGGAGCAGTCAAGAATCGCTACATCCGAAACACCCATTGGAGACTGTGGTGCTAAAAGGGACTCACTGCAAAGTTTATATGAATATTATGGCAATTCTATCTATTTTGTGACCTTTTAATGGGTTTCTAATATTTTTTTCCTTTGAAGTCGAGTACCTGTCTACCCCACTAAATATGGGTTTACAAACAGAAGATTTACATTGAATAGTGCCCTTATCCAATTTCCATAAACAATATAATGTTGTTATATAAAGAATATTTAAAAATGACTTGATTATTTAATATTTTTGAAATGCAGACCCTAATCACCAACATTTATCATATATTACACTTAGCAAATTTTGACACTTTTCATATTATATGTCTTTAACATAAATGGAAATAAACAATAAGACACAATTTACAAAGTTAAGAGGGAAATCACTCCCATTTTACAGAGGATTTCTGAAAACGATATGCTCAGAGAAGTTATGTCAAATACCTACTATTTTTAATGGAGGGAAGCAGGACAAGGGATGGGAAATGGAATTGGTGACACATTTTTTGGATCAAGTGGATGATTAGTCTACTGCTTAAAAAAAGAGTTTCTGGGGAATTCATCTCTCTCTCTCTCTCTTTCTCTTTTAGAAGAGAGATATCACTGGAGTAAACAATGCATGTTTGATAGCAACACCAACTCAGATGGTTATTCCACAGAATGTAGAACTGCCTCAGTAACACCTTTGTCATCTTTGAAGCTGCTGTCAATATCAAAATTCTTAGAAGTGCCACTCTAAGTAACATGAAATATATAACATAAAGGACATTCAATAAATGTTGATCATTAGTTATAGATATAAATTCAGTTTATTTTTTTAATGTTTTAATTATTAATTCCCTGTACAAAGTACCAAAATAATACTTGGACATTTAAAAGTTTGTGTGTTTTTCTAAACAGAAGGCGCAATTATGTTTTCCAAAAATATTCCATTAAACAAAATATAAATATATATTTCATGCTAATGGAGAATATTTTAGAATATTCTCATGTGGTTTTAAACTGGTGCTATTATAAATTACGTGTGTGTGAGTGTGTGTATGTTTGTGACTTTTTGCCAGCGTTGTGGTGGTAAGTGATAAATGTATATCAACATGTTATAAATAAATTCATTAAAAACAATTTTGGGTGACACTTGCTCACTGATAATGTATTGAAAAATAATGGCAAGCAACCTTTGGAGGAATGAATTAGATTAATAAATTCAATGTTATCGATATGGTTAACATTAATTTCTGTTTTAGGGCAAAAAAAGAAAAGTATAGTATCTCATAATTGTTCAAGGAAAATGACACAACACTTCTTTTTTCACAGAGGAAAGGTCAGCAGAAAGTTCACCAGAAAGATTCTGAAGATATAAACAAAAAACATGGAACGGTGGAAACTTGAGGGTCAAGCATTGGCATGAGAGCCTTAGAAAGAGTATAGAGTTGTCAGTCAATTTCCATTATGCTGGAAACTATAATAAATTGGGCAAATGCAATGCAAAGAAAACTGCTGACAGCAGACATGTTCCTAAAATGTATGAAGAATGATGTAGTTGTTAATTTAATTAGTTGTTTAAAGCCAGACAATTTCTTTCCAAAAATTCTGGCTTGTCAAAAGTTAACGATCATATTTCTTAATCCAGCAAACTAAATATGACACTGAATTACTTTAAATAACACTGACACTTCCACAGGAATGTTGATATGAAGCATGGCATTTAATTTTTTATGGAAAATATGAATGCATAGAAAGACATGAATGATGCATAATATGAAAAGCTGATTCAAAAATAAAAATATGACTGATGAAACAAAAACTTTAGAGAAATGTCACTAACTTGATTGTCATAGATTGTTTCAATATGCTTAGCCTAGGAGTAAGTTTTCTATTTCTACAGGATGACAAAATTTTTAAATGATATAAAAAAATCTAGAACTACCTATTGGGTGTCTTCTAGATTAATCAAACAAAAGATCTATGGGAAATTAAAGACGTCCTGCAATTCCTGCTGCTAGCATATTCTTTCACTTCTCATTTTAAGGTAATACATAGGCTTTCCTACCACGCTTCCACCTATGGAATAGTTTGGGAAGAAATGGTATTAGTTTTTATTTATGTGTTTAGTAAAATTCAATGGTCAAGCCACCAGGTTCCAGGTTTTTCTACGCTGAGGGACATTTCATTACAGCTTCAATCTAGTTATTTATTATTGGTCTGTTCAGGTTTTGGATTTCTTCATGGTTCAACTTTGGTAGTTTGTATGCATCTAGGAATTTATCCATTTCTTTGAGGTTTTCCAATTTATAGAATACAGTTGTGCATAGTAGCCACTAATGATCCTTTTAATTTCTGGAGCATCAATTGTAATGTCTTCTTTTTCATCTCTGAGTTTATTTATTTGGGTCTTCTCTCTTTTTCTTAGATAGTCTGGCTTAAGTTTTGTCTATTTTTTAACTTTTAATTTCATTGATCTTTTGTATTTTCTTCATTTCAATTTTATTTATTTCTGCTTTAATCTTTATTTTTTCCTCTTGATTCAGTAATTCTATGAAATGCATCATTATGTTGTTTATTTGAAGTTTTTCTACTTTTTTGAAGTGTATATTATAGCAATAAACTATCCTCTTAGTACTGCTTTCTCTGTTTTCCATCATTTTTGGTAGTCTTTTTTTACTTTTCATTTGTCTAAAGACATTTTAAAACTTCCTTCTTTATTCCTTCATTAACCCATTGATCATTCATAGCATATTGTTTAATTTCTATGTATATAGTTTTCAAAATTTATCTTGCTATTGTGCTGTTTACTCCATTGTGGTCAAAGAAAATGTCTGAAATTACATCAAATTTTTTAATGTTTGAAGACTTGTTTTTGGCCTATCATATGGTAATTCTTTGAGAATGGTCCATGTGCTGAGGAGAAAAATGATTTTTTTGGCAGCAGTTGAATGAAATGTTCTATAAATATCTGTTAAGTCCATTTGGTCAATAGTGCAGAAGAAGTCAGCCTTTTCTTCATGAATTTTCTATCTGGACAATCTGTCCAATGCTGAAAGTGGGGTGTTGATGTCTCCAGTTATTATTGTTTTGGAGTCTACCTCTCTCTTTATCTGTAATAATATTTCTTTAATATATCTGTTTGTTCCAGTGTTGGGAGAATATATATTTACAATTGTCATAAAATCTTGCTGAATTGACCCCTTTATCATTATATAATGGTCTTCTTTGTCTCCTTTTATAGTTATTTTGAAATCTATTTTGTCTGATATAAATATAGCTACCCTTGCTCCTTTTGGTTTTCTTTGCATGGAATACTTTTTTCCATCCCATTATTTTCAGCCTATGCAGATCTTTATAGGTGATATTTGTTTCTTATAGGAGACAGATCTTTGAGTCATGTTATTATTATTTTTTAATCCAATCAGTCATTCTGTATCTTTTGATTGAAGAGTGTAGTGCATTTGCATTCAATGTTATTATTAATAAGGAGACTTACCCTTTCCATTTTGTTGTTTGATTCCTGGTTGTTTTGTGGTTTTCTCTTCCTTCTTTCCTTTCTTCCTTCCTGTTTTTCTTTTAGTGAAAGCAATTTTCTCTAGTGCTTATTTTTAATTTCCTGCTTTTTTATTTTTTCTGTAATCTCTTGTATGTTTTTTGATTTAAGAAACTATAAGGCTTATAAATAATATCTTATAACCCATTATTTCAAACTGATAACAACTTAACATTGCATACACAAACAAACCAACAAATACACAAAGAGAATACTTATAAAACTCTACAATTTATCCCTCTGCTTTTTAATTTTTTATTGTCTTTGTTTCTTATGTACTGTCTATGTCTTTAGAAGATGTTGTAATTATTATTTTTGATATGTTCATTTTTAGTCTTCATACTCAAAATATAAATAGTTTATACATGGTAATCACAGTGTTAAATTATTCTGTTTTTCTGTCTACTTACTATCACCAGTGAGTTTGTACCTTAAGATGATTTCTTATTGCTCATTAACGTCTTTCCCTTTCAAAACAAAGAAGTCACTTTACCATTTCTTGAAGGACACATCTGGTGCTTATAAAATCCCTCAGCTTTTGTTTGTCTGAGAAAGTCTTTATTTCTCCATCAAGTTTGAAGGACATATTTTGCCAGAAATATTATTCTAAGATAAAAGTATTTTTTTTTTCTTCTTTACTTTAAATATGTCATGCTACTCTCTCCCAGACTATAAGGTTTACACTGAAAAGTCTGCTGGCAGGCATAATTGGAGTTTCACTGCATGTGTTCATATTCTCTTGCTGCTTATACAATTATTTTTTTATCCTTGACCTTTGGGTGTTTGACTACATCTTAAGATAGTCTGATTTAGGTTAAATCTTCTTTCTTGGTGTTCTGTTACCTTATTGTTCTTGAATATTGATGTCTTCTTAGGTTTCAGAGTTCTGTTATTATCTGTTTAATTAAACTTTCTATCTTTCTCTCTCTCTCCCTCTCCTCTTTAAGTCCAACAACTGCTAGATTTGCCCTTTTGAGACTATTTTCTAGATCTTGCAGGCATGCTTTATTCTTTCATATTCTATATTATTTTTTGACTATGTATTTTCAAATAACCTGTCTCCAGGCTCAATAATTATTTCTTCTGTGCTATCAATTTTGCTGATAAGAGAGTCTCATACATTCTTTAGTATGTCAGTTGCACTTTTCAACTCCAGAATTTCAGCCTGATTCTTTTTATATATTTCAGTCTCTTTCTTAAATTTATGTGATGGGATCATGAATTCCTTCTCTATGTTATCTTACATTTCATTGAGTTTTCTCAAAACAATTATTTTGCATTCTCTGTCTGAAAGGTCACTTATCTCTGTCTCTCTAGGATTGATCACCAGTACCTTCCTTATTTCATTTGGTGAGCTCATGTTTTCCTGGATGTCTTGATGCATGTAAATGTTCACTGGCATCTCAGCATTAAAGAGTTAAGGGTTTATTGCAGTCTTTACAGTCTGGGCTTGTTGTGCTTCTGGGGAAGGCTTTCCAAGTATTTAAAAAGACTTGGATGCTATGGGTCTAAGCTTTTGGTTACTGCAGCTATATCTGCAATAGGGGGCTTCTTAAGCCCAGTAACACCATGGTTCTTCCAGACAGGTAGTGGTACTGCCTTGGTGGTCTTGGATAAGGTCTGGAAGAATTTTCTTGTTTACCAGGCAGATACTCTCATGAGCTTTCCTTATTTTCTCTGAAACAAATGGAGTGTCTCTCTGTTCTGAGTTGTCTGGTGCTGGAGGAGGGGTGAACAAGCACCCTTGAGGGCACTACAACTGGGACTTCTGAGACAGACCTCTAGCCAGCACAACACTGGGTCTCTCCCAAGGCCCAGAGAAACCACTGGCTGGCCACTGCCTATGCTTTCTCAAGACTCTAGGGCTCCACAATCAGCAGAAGGTGAAGCCAGATTAGCTAGTGTCCTTCTCTTCAGAGCAGCAATTTATCCCCAGCCCAGCCCTGAGTGGATCCACAGGTGCCAACCAGGAGCCAGTGCCTGGAGTCTGAAACCTCAGGAATCTAGCTTGTGTTCTATTTATACTGCAGCCCATCTGGCACCCAAGTCTCAAGACAAAGTCTCTTTCACTCTTCCCTGCCCTTTACACCTGCAGAGGAGCCTCTCCATATAATCTCCACCACACCAGGCCCATGGCAATTATTGCTTGGCTACCCCTGATGTTCACTAATGCCCAAGGGCACTTCGGTCAGCTTTTGCTAAATGCTTGCAGGCCTAGGACTCTCCCTTTATGTCAGTGGGCTCCCCTCTGGTCCAGGGCAGATCTAGAAATGTCATCTAAGAGCCAAAGCCTGGAATCAGGGATCCCAAGAGGCTGCTTACTGATCTACACATCTATGATAGAACTGATATCTAAGCTGCAAGACAAAGTCCCCTTTACTCTTCCCTCTCCTTTATTCAAGCAGAAACAGATTCTCCCTGTAGCCAACAGGGCTGGAAATATTCTGGGTCACACTTGAGGCCAGTACATCTCTGAGTTTGACCCAAGGCTCATGGGTGAGTATTGCCCGGCTACCGCTACTGATTATTCAGGGCCCAAAGCCTTCTTAGTCAGTGGGTGATGAATTTTTCCAGAACTTGGTCCTTCCCTTCCAGACGCAGGTTTCCCTTCCAGACCAGAATATGTCCAGAAATGTCATCTGAGAGCTGTGACATGGAATAGGGCCCCGGGGCTTAGTCTTGTGCCCTATTCTTCTGTGGCTGAACTGGTATCCAAGTTGCAAGACAAAGTCTTCTTTACTCTTGCCTCTCCTCTCCTCAAGCAGAAGGAAGGAGTCTCCTTTGTTGTTGAAAGTTGAATACCCTGAGGTTGGGGAGGGGTGATAAAGGCATTCCCTTGGCCAATCCAGCTGGTGTCTCTCTCGGTCATGTGCCCTCCAGAGCCACAGGCTCCAAGCCCAGAAGAGCACCAGGACTTGTCCATGAACTGCAGTCCTTGTGGCCAAGACTGCCTTTCAAGTTTATTTAGACTCCTAAAGCTCTTTAGCAAATAGTGGTGAGGCTTGCTGGAACTCAAGCTCTGGTCACTGGGATAGGTGATTCCCCTTGGCTAGGGCTGGTCTATACACTCCCTCTGTGGTCACTGGCCAAGTTCTTCCTGGTGTTGCTTTCCACTGTGACAGGGCAGCACTGAGTCTCAATAAAAAGTCCCAGAATCACTGTGCTCCCCTCTCTAGTGCACAGATTCTCTCTCATCACCATGTGGCCACTGCTGGAGGATATGGGGGAGTGGTCTTGGCAACTCAGAATTGTCTTTTCTACCCTCTTCAATACCTATTTCAG